TTGAGTGTGATTTACTCTGAAAGACCAATAAGAAATTTGAGTGTGGTTTACTCTGACAAACCAATATTTGATTGGAGCTCGGTTTTGCTCTGGGAAAATCAAAATTATTATATTTGCAGGTTCGAAAAGAATGACGTTCCTGCTTGATTGATTGATGACTGATGAGTTCGAAAAGATGAACGTTCTCATCATTGAAAAAGAAGAAAAAAAAATTGAAGGCGACATCACAAGAGTGTGCATCTCGGCTTCAACAAAGTGAAGAATTTCCAATCGCAACGTTCGTGTTACTGCCGTAACGATTGCGGGAGGGTGTTAGAGATATCGGAAAATTTTTCGTAGATATCAATTAAGAGAATAATATATTTAATTAGGATATTTATGTTGATATATTATTTTGAGAATATATCTTTAGGGTTTATGGTTAAACATATATCTTTTAGGAAGATTGTTTCCTATCTTATGAGCTTAGGTTTTGTATAAATACTCAACCTATTGATGAATAATAATCAAGCCATTCTATTCTATTCTCTCTTCTCTCTAATTTGTCAGAATTGCTATTTGACGACAAAAATAAATATACTCACGAATCACGATGATATTGTTAATAAATACTACGTATATATTTTTTGGGTTATGGAAAGCCCTTAAAACAACTTGTTCATGGTATAATTGGTGAATTGAACCAATACGTGATTTTTTAGTAGAATTTTAGCCAAAATATAACCCATACATCCAACGGGCTATAATAATGCTAGAATTGATTGGTTGAGACAAGATAATTCCATCTTGCATGACCTAACTAAAACTCAGTTATTTCTGCTTTGCGATTGCATTGGATAGGAAAGTATCATACTTCATACTCCAAAATTTATTGTTGGACTTAATGATTTTGATGATGACACAACCTCACTTACTTACAAACTAATAAGTGCTTGATTGTTTAAGTGTGTACTCAGTTACAAAGACTAGGAGAATGAAGTGTCTTGTAAAAATACCATGAGGAACAAAAAGGCCAGAAGCAGAGCTATCCATATAGAAGAGTTCCTTCACAGGAACTGGCGCTTCAGAAATGAAGACTGGAGAAGAGAAGGTTCCCTCAGGAAAACAGAAGCATCAGAGAAGAGAAGTTTCTCTCAAGGAACAGAAGCCTCGGAGTAGAAGCTTCATCAAAGACTAAATATATTTTTATATTTTAGGATTTATGTAAGTATAAGATATTAATATGCACTCGAAAAATCTGTGTGGAATTGGTCTTAGGATAAAATATTATGCATGCTAGTTTTTAGGAAAACTGTTATAGTTTAAACGTTTATCTTTTTCTCAAATTAAAAAGATTTTATTTTATTTCTTTTTCTGATTTTCGGAAAATATCTTTAACAAAATAAAATCTCCCATGTTTTCCAAAACTTGCGGCTTACTCTCCCATGTTCTTCTTCAGTCATGGTTTTGCACATTGAGGAGTTCATGGTTCCTTAATTCAAGGAACATGATCTTCTTAGTGGGTATGAGTAGTGGCGTAATGGATTTGCTGCACAAAGAGGTTTTTCCTATACGTTTATTGCTCTATAAATAGTCTTTGAAATCTGATGGAAAAACTCACCCTTGCTCACATAAGTTTTCAAGCTTCAAATCGAGTCATGTGTCAATTCCATACAAGTTCATTAGAGTGTTCTTAATGTTCTTATACTAGAGTTTTGTTTACTTTTCGAGTTGTAATTTGGGGAATGGGAAGTTCGAGTGAACGTTTGTGTATGAGAAAGAGAAGTGAGAAAGAGAAGAGAAAGAGAAGAGAGAATAGAGAAGTGAGAAGAGAGAAAGAGAAGAGTGACAAGTTGGGTGACTTGTTCCTCAGGGTCTCAAGTTCGTAGAGGAACTTGAGTTTGAATCGTTAGCTTGTAATAGGATCATTTGCCCTATTATAGTGAAGATTCGTTTCCCAAAATCCCAAGTTGTCATGGTTTTTCTCCTTGTCAGGGCCAAGGAGTTTTCCACGTAAAATCTCTCTTGCATTCTTTAGTTCCTTCAGTTAATCTTTCAGTTCCTTTAGCTAACTTAATTTTAATTCCGCAAAAAGTTTGGCTAATCTCTCATACTACAATTCAACCCCCCCTTCTTGTAGTATTCTTTAAAACAACATTTACACTCAGGGCCTGTTCACATTTACTGAAATGAGCTAAATTGAACTGAACTGATTGGAACTGAACTGAACTGAATTGAATTGAACTAAGCTGAAATGAATATTTTATGAGAGAGGAAAATTAGGAGCTGAATTGAGCTAAATTGAACTGAACTGATTGGAACTGAACTGAACTGAATTGAATTGAACTAAGCTGAAATGAATATTTTATGAGAGAGGAAAATTAGGAGCTGAACTGAACTAAACTGATTAGAGCTGAACTGAACTGATTGGAGCTGAACTGAAATTATATAAATGAGAACAGACCCTCAGTCATATTCCGGGGTAAATAAATAGAGTAGTAATCAATTACTTATATATACGATGTATTATATATTAATATATATGTATGATTGTGGTTGGTATAAACTTGTGGTAACTCCTAAGTCAATGCATCCTTATCATATTGCTGCTTACGTGAGTTTTTAATAAATATCTTAATCCACTTTTAGAAGTAATTGGATTCTTTAGTGAAGCAAATCTTTAAGTATCTTCTAATTATTGCATTGGTTTTTATTTTTTTCCCTAGCTATAATGATTAATGATGTTAGTTAACCATGTGTCGCGGTGTTGATTAATTATTCTCCATTAATTTTTCATCTAGTGATTTGAATATTTACCTTGGTGTATAATAAATATATATTCTTGTGAAATGGAAGCACAACCATACAATTGGGCAATTCCTATTAGAGTGCTATCATAAAAGTGACAAAGCTAGCATTCCCATTTAATTGACATGAAATTGGACTCTACCTAAAATATGAAGTAACATGAATTGATTTAAGCCCAAATTAAAATCAAAGTAACATGGACACTAATTGTCTATTTATAGTACAGTAAGTAGTAAGCTAATTGACAAATGATCCAAATTTAATCTCGGATAAACAGACACAAATTTGTACAAGTGACCCACTAAAATATGATCCAATAATAATTGCCACTTCAATATTCACTAACTACTTTTTGGTGCACATGTGAAAAATGACATGGTAATATGAAGAGATCATGCATATCAGGTTAACTAATTTTATCCCCGTGCACTATACGAATTTATAATAATAATCAATTAAAATATTATTTTATTTTATTTTGAATTATAAATTTATTTAATATTTGTCATTAAAATTTTTATGTGTTGCATATATATATATATATATATACATAAATTATTAAAAGAATTTAATTTAAAATTAAAAAAAAAATTATAAGTAACATTTTGGAGGGAAATTTTTTCACAAAATTTTATCAAGTGTCCAATCCATGGATTACTTTAGTATGTGTATAGAAATAGATATAGATAGATAGATTACTCAACTGTTTCTTTTAGAAGCATCACTTTCTAATTAAATAATGAAATTTTATATTAGATGCATTAATTTTCTTTTAAGTTAATAAATTATTTCTTTCTCTCTCACATTACATAAATTCTTTTTTTCTTGTTTCTCTTTACCTCTCTAATCTCCAAAAACTCTCTAAAAATTCATGTTTTTGCAAATGATACATCTAAAAAACACGGGTAAAGTATCAAATTTGCTAATTCTTTGATAACCTAACCACAATGTGGGGACTTCTTTAGAAATGTGAGGTATCGACGATTATTCTATGAGAGTATGCATAAAAATTGTGTTGGAAAGAACTTTAAAATAAGTTCGAAAAAGAGTTAATAAGAGATATCCAACTTAAACTTACAACAAGAATAAGTTCTAATAAGTTTAGATAAGTAAAAAATTATATAGAATAAAATCTGGACACACTTAAGTAAAAAATTATATAGATAAGTAAAAAATTATATAGAATAAGTTCTGGACACACTTAAGTAAAAAATTATATAGAATAAGTATATTTTAGCCTATTAGGTCATGATATAGTGCAGCACACAAGACTTATATCTTAGTTACCCTTCCTTTTCTTATTCGGCGACGGTACAAGACTCTGTTGTTAGGGCCTGTTCTCATAAGTTTATTTTCAGTTCAGTTCAGCTCCTAATTTCCTTCTCTTATAAAATATTCATTTCATTTCAGTTCAATTCAGTTCAGTTCAGCTGAGTTCAGTCTATGAGAACAAACCCTTATTCTTCCTGTTCTTATTCAACTCTAGTGTCTACGCTTTGCATAACATGCGTAAAATTTCATATCGATGAATACGATGATCATAATTGTATAAAAAGTAATGAGATCATTGTCATATTTTTTATTTATTATTTTATCTTCATTATATGATTAGATTTAGGGTCTGTTTAGTTCATCTTAATTTCAGTTCATTTCAGTTCAGTTCAGCTCCAACCAATTCAATTCAGTTAAGCTCCTAATTTCCTTTTCTCATAAAATATTCATTTCAACTCAGTTCAGGTGAGTTCAATAAATGTGAGGCCCTTACATATACTTCATAATTAACACATGTGTTCGCTATTTGTGTAGGATTTAAAAACAACAATATTTTTTTTTTTATAAAGTAGTGAATAAGGACATATGATACGGAAAAGGAATGCAACCATTAGACCTAACTCGTATATGGATTATTCTATTCACAAAACAAATTATAAGCTGAAAATGAAAATCCTTTTGTCCATTATCCTAAAAACATGATATTCATCTTACTCTAGTTGAGACGGTCAACGTATTGTTATATTCTAATTTATTTATATTTATGCATGCATGTTTAAGAACTTAATCTTAATAGTTAATAACTTAATACAAGCCTAGCCAAAATATGGTTACAAGAGTATTTTGTGACTTAGTAATTTAACATTCTCTTAAACCAATAACTAGTGTCATTGAAATATAATACTGTTGTACTCCTGCATTTTTAAGCTAACATATACGAATTACTAGTAATACTTAGCTTCATATTACATATTCATGAAATAATTTTTATATTCATGCCAAGCTCAAAATATGGCTCGACATAACAACAATAATTAAGTTGTAAGCCATAATTATATATCTTCTAAATCTCTCAAAGCATTGTTTAAATCATCAGTATCAAGTTGCACGTACGTAGCCATGTTTCGAAGATTCGAAGTTTCCTCCTTAAGCTGGTTATTCTCTTGAACAACTTGATTATGAGACTCAGATGCATGATTAAGCTTTTCAACAAGTTCGTGGTTCTCACCCTTTAGTCGTAACACTTGTGACCATAGCTCATTTATTTGCCTCTTCTTTCGCATCCTAGAGCGCCTAGCAGATTCTCGGTTAGACACCATTCTTCGGTGCTTCCTCTCGTCTATAAGATTATTATCTTGCTTATTCTCGGCCTCATTCGATGTTGAGCTAGTGTTATGTAGGTACCGAGCTTGAAGGTTGAATTCGTCGAAATTAAGGGAGGTTTGGTTACTAGGTTGTAGGTCATCTTGTATAAGGCTAAAATTGGATGGAAATGAGTTTTGATACTCGAAAGCCATATGATTGATATCTTCAATCTTACATTGATTCATGACTTATTTTTGGCTTAATTAAAGGCCAATTTAGTTGTAATTAGATTATGGTGATTGTGAAAATATTTGTAAATGAGGTAGAGATGCTAATTTAGAAATCCAAAGGTGCTTTTATAAGACAAGAATCAAGTGTGTCATTAGTAGTGGGGTGAGCTAAGCATAAAAGAAGAACAAAGTTAGGTGCTTACGCAATCTAACAATAATAGTACTATAATCTGTCCTGAAATACTCATTAGACTATTAAAGGATGCATCAATGATGTAATAACTTGTAACTTTATCCACTTATTGTTAATTAGTCATTGTTTAAGTTTGTCCAATTATTTTCATAGTCGTTACCATATAGAGTTTGTACTCCTTACATAGATTTGTTTAATTTATTATCGCGGCAATTTGTTATTCGCTAATGAATTGGATGAAGTGTTGCTCAACTTATTAGTAAATGTATGATGTATGTATAATGTATTTTGCTTTAAGGACGATGGAGGAGGCTAGGGTTTTAGAGAAAAAAACTGACAGAAGTTAGTTCACTCAAAGACGCAAGTTCAAATAATTTGAGAGAACAAACCAATAAAACAATTATTCAAAATAGTTTATATATATTTTTTTTTTTGTTTCATGTACATATATATGTTACCTCTAGTCGTTTATGCGTGCATTAAAATACTTTATTTCTTAGTTTGAATTCGACGAAGGATCCTATTAATGTCTTATTAGTGTTACAAATGATGATCGGTTATAATGTAGTGAGCAAGGATTTCATAAGGTACAGCATAAATCAGGTTCAATGGAGAGGCAGGTGAGACTTTTGTTAATGAACTTATTAATTGAAAAGAGTTAATATGCTTTTCTTAATGGTGGATTTGTTTAATATTGAAAGACAATGTCATTTTCTCTTTTACTAGAAGTGTGTCTATGAAGTCCCTTAACAATTTTAACACAATTAAATTAAACTTGGTCTCTAGGAAATCTGAAAGGGCAACATTTGTGTTCATAATAATATTGAAAGGGCAATAATCTTAAAGAGTTACATAGCCATATCCATATTTTTTATTTGATGGGATCACTTCCATAATTCTCTTCTTGGTTTCACCCGGATCTTCATTCCCCTCTAACCCGGTTTTCGAATCCTCAGCTCATTTGGTTGATTATATGTTGCACTCGATTTACGGCGGTTTTTTGATTCCTTGTTTGGTTGATTACAAGTTGTTTGTAATGAATAGAAGCTTATGGAAGGCGATAAAGTTTGATAACATTATATATTCCTTAACTAGTAGAAACTTCGAGCTAATTCATTATTATTGATCAAAGTTCGTTGTGAAAAAAAGCTCTTAGTTCTCTATTCTAAAATAAATGCAACAATTGACCTTTTGCATCATTCATATATTTCATTTTGACCATATTTTTTCACTAATATATACACGTTTAAAATAAACAAAAATACTACATTTTAATCAACCAAAAAAATAGATATTGCTATGTTAATTAATGATTTAAAATTCATCTTAATGTAAACATATCTGTTTTTCATAATTTTAACTAATAACAATTCTATGAATATGTAGTATATTCATTGTTAAATTTAGGCCCTGTTCAGTTCATGTTAAAAAAATAATTTTCAGTAAACATAAGTTTAGTTCATTAAAAATAATTTCAGTTCAATAAAAATCAGTAAATCTAAAGAAGAAATATAATAGAAAATCAGCAAAAATAATTTCGATTTAGCATAATAATTCAGTTCACTAAAATTAATTTCAGTTCAACAGAAATAAGGTGAAGTGAACGGGGCCTTGGTATGTTAGTAGATGCATGTACTTTGAAATCGAAGAGTATGAAAAATATTGGGTCAGACAGCAAAACATGTTCCTTAATTGGGCTATTGCCAATTGGGCTTAATTTTCCTTGGGATAATGTCTCTCTAAAATAAAATTAACAAAAACAAAATTGTTCCACGAAAATAAGGTGAAAACCCTAACTTAGAGTAGAAGTAACTCCTCTACCTTATAAAGTGGAACTACCTCTCCTCTTTCTTCAATGTGAGACACTCACAAGTGGGCTACAATGGGTTTCAACAGTAGTTGTCCTTAGTTTTTGGGACTTGGTATATGGCGTGTATAATCCGGTCAAGTATTGTCATATTAAGGTTTTAAATAATGCAACTAATTCATGGTCAAATAATAGTTGTTACAAATTTGACCTAACCTACCGTAACAGAGAAGTTAGGTTACCGTACATAAATTCCGACCCTAATTTTAGTAATTGCTTTGTCAAAGGTAAGTGTCACTGGTCACGTGGAATAAGATGCATGCATTAATGAAGAATACGGTAGTGATATAATGAAGTATGGTTTCCTTGTTTTCGACATGGTTAATGAGACTTTTGATATGATGATTGGACCTAATCATATGAGTATTGAGTATGTTAGTCTCAAGGATAACCGTAACCTAAATCGGAGTGTTTGGGGGCTTAGGGATACGATTGTTGTGGTCGCGACTTTTGCTAGGAAGGAGAAGGTTGAGGTATGGATAATGAAGGAGTATGGTGTTGAGGAGTCTTGGAATATGTTATGTTCGATTCCGGTTGGTTCAAATAATTAAGGGCTTGTTTGACGTGGTTGGGATTTATAATGAAGAACGAATTATCTATCTTATGTGATAATGATGAGAAAAAATTGGTCTCGTATGGCTTTGAGGACGACGATGATCAAGTTATTGAGCATGATGTCCAAAGTATACTTCCTCACATCAAATATGGAAGTATAGGAATGTTTAACTATGTAGAAAACTTTGCAACTTGCAAGGATACATTGATCACCAACAACATTCTTAGTACAATTATAAATTTATTAACCTAGCTTTTTTTCTTTTTTATTTTTAGGGAATTTATTGTCCTAGCTTTTTTTTTTTTTTTTGAATAGATTTATTGTCCTAGCTTAGAGTAGCTATTATTTGACAAATTAAATATGTTAGTTACCTTTCGCTTTTCTAGTCCATTATTCTTTATTTGTTTTTATTTATTGAATACTTGATTTTATTAAGGAATTGCTACTTATCTTAAGCATATCATATTACTATTGAGGATAAGCGTAACATCAACCGGAGCACAAAGTCTTATATGTGACTGGCCACACGGTGTGAGTGTGTGACCATCGACTATAAGGGTCGGTACTCATTCAGTTTTACGGGGGTTACTTTGTCGGTGTTATAGGGGTTACTTGGTCAGTATTACATGGTCTGGGTTATTTCGTCAGTGTTATCAGAGTTACTTTGTTTTTCTACAAGTGGCCACATGGTGTGGCCAACCGCACACATCCGGTATGGCTTTGAAGACGATGGAGTTATTGAGCATGATTTTCAAACTACATCTCCTTACCAGAGCTATAACACTATAGGAGTGTTTGACTACGCGGAAAACATTGTAAGCTTGCGCCCACCAAAGTCAATTGATCACCATCCTAACAACATTAATTCTTAATTAGTACTTGAAAATATTTGTTGTCGGGAGTAGCTAATATTTGTCAATTTTAACTATTTGCATTGTTATCTTTTGATTTTCTAGTCCATAATTCTTAGTAATTGCCTAATTGGTTTGTATTACAGATCATAAGGCAGGGGCAGGGGGTTTAATTCGAGGCTCGAATGGAGAACTCTTTGAGTGTTTTGCTATGAATTGCGGTATATGTTCTTGCACAAAGGCTGAGCTTATGGCGGTGCTTAAAGGTTTGATGGTTGCTTGGGATGGTGGTCATCGAAAGGTACATATATCCCTTGACTCGGAAGTTGTTGCTAATATGTTGGTGGAGGACTCTCCTCCGCACTCTCCTTATATTCATATGATTCGTAAGTGCAAGGCACTTATTAATGGCAGAGATTGGGATATCAAAATCTCACATTGTTTTAGAGAAGCTAATCGAGCGGCGGATTGGCTTGCAATTTTGGTGTGACGATTTCCTCAAAATTTGTCATGATCGAGGCGGTCCCGAAGGACCTTCGTGTAGTTTTATTGGAGGATTTGGGTGGATTGGCTTTGACTCGAATGGTTCCGGAGGGAGGAGTAAAGTGGGGATGATCCTGCTTCGTCTCTTAGCTGAATAAATGTCCCTGTGACATAGTAGTTTTGCTTTCTGCTTTAGTTCCTTTAGTTTGTTTTCTCTGTTTTGTTCTGTTTTTACTTTTCGTTTTTCTGTTTGTTTGGTTTGCTTTGTTTTTTGGGGCTTGCCCCTCTCTTCTACCAAAAAAAAAAAAAAAAAATTCTTATTTATCTTAAGGTGTATATAATATCACATTATGTAATAGGGTTATATATTACTTTGAATATCTTATGTAAAACTTTTATAATCAGAAGTACGTATCCAAAACTTCAATTGTCAAAATAATATGCACAAATTCCTAACATTAAAAAATAAAAAATAAAAAAATAACTTTATTATCCACTTTTTAATTTAATTAAAAATAGGTGATGAAGGAACCTAATTTGATTCAATTTTATTTGTTTGTTTATTTAGATTTCATTTTTAGATTCCGTCTGGTTTTTAATTAATGAATTGTTTTATTTCAAAATAAAAATAAAAATAAAAATAAAGAGTTAGCAAAAAATAAATTATTTTAGTTCAGTTCAGTTTCTAATTTCCTTCTCTTATAAAATATTTATTTCAGTTCAGTTCAGCTCAGTTCAGTTCAGTTTAGTTTAGTTCAATTCAGTTCAGTTCAGTTCAACTGAGTTCAGTCTATGAGAACAGACCCTTAATAATATAGGTGATATACGGAGTATTTTCTTTATATATATTATTGGGAGAATGATAAACTTAAGATTATAGTATATGTGAAAATATTCTTTAACAAATATAGATTTAGGATTTATGACTATGATAGTAGATCTTTTATAAGAATTGTTTCGTATCTTATGTTGTCTTAGATTTTGTATAAATACGCTGCCTAATATTCAAGGTAAGTCATACTATTAACTCTTTACCCCTAAACTTGTCACGGGCTTACCACTAAGTTTTCACCCCTTGATAAACTTGTCTCATACTCTCATGCAATCGTGCGTATACAAAAGTAACTATTGCTACATGCATTGGTTCTCTAGGGTTCAACATATATACTCACCTTTTGTTTTTCATTCAATTTTTAGAGTTTCATTTATTTTTATTTTTATCATTTCTAACAAGCTAAGATTGACATAAACATACACACGAATATAGTCTTTGGTTTTTTTTTCATTTTCTTTTGTTTATCAATTGTCTCCAACCCCTCTTATTAGCTTATAACACCCTATTAGTCCCGTCAAAAAAAAAAAAAAAAAAACACCCTATTATTAAGCAATTAATCTCTCATCTTTTCAATATCCCTCTGCCCCTAGAAATAAAATTACTATTTACATGACTACATGTATGATTGATTGATAATTTTCTAAGTTCTCCTTTGTTATTTTGATGCTACATTATATTAACAATATACTACATACTCTGTATAACTTATCAACTTATGTATATGTAAGGGTTTGTTCTCTTCAGCTTATTTTCAGTTCGGTTCCAACCATTTCAGTTTTTAATTTCCTTCACTTACTCCCTCTGTATTTTTTTAAGTGTTACAATTTGATCGGCACATAGTTTTAGGCAATTTAATTGACTTAAATAAAATAAGAGATAAGTGGGATAGTTGGAGTATTAAAAATTTGTAAAAGAAAGATAGTGGGGTTAATAGTTTATTGAAAAGTAATGAATGTGAGAGGAAAGATATAATAAAATAGTAGTATTGGGTTTGAGTGGGGGCTATGAGAGGAGAGACACATAATATTTTAATGTAGTTTTTTGCCAAAAAAGGAAGTGTAACACTTAAAAAAACACGACCGGAAATCGGAAGTGTAACACTTAAAAAAACACGGAGGAAGTATAAAATATTTAGTTCAGTTCGGTTCAGTAAATCAGAACGGGCCCTAAGTGGTGTAATATTTACATTTGGACCAATCAAACTAAAATAAAAACAGCACGAAAATGAAATGAAACGCGTTAGGCTATTCATGCATGAAACACGGTTATCTTAATTTGGTAAAAGTGATGAAGTATCGAAGAATTTATCAATCATTTTGGCACACGTACATAATGTTTCAATGAAAAGGATATAAAAAAAAAAATAAAGTTATTGGAAAATCTCACTATTGAATATTGATGCTTCTTGAAAGTCGGGGTACGTGTATGACATAAAATAGTTGCTACCAGAAAGACATGTAAAAGTCCATGTCAACAGTGTACGTAACATCTTCGACATTTTTAAGGGGAAAATTAGTCAAACGGGTGAAAAATAATTACTCTTAATTTTATTTTATTTTTTTTCTTCGTTAATCAACCATTTTATATAAACAATGTATATGCAAATAGTGAGGCTCAAATTTGAAATCTCAAAGTCATAAGGTCTCTTTTACGAGTATTTCCATCATCTTCTGATCTTCATCGAGCATGCATATATATTTTTAATGTATAGGCTAGTAACGATTATTATTACAATTATAATCCGTACATTCATAATATGATCCTTATTTCAAGCTAAAGTAGGGGGTTTGGTTTATTTAGCTTGCCCATACGCCAAAGTCGATCACTCGAACCCCTACATCCGGCCTTAATGAGAATTAAACCAAACATACTGCCTAGTCTATGACTCATGAGATGGCGAATTTAATACATCCATATTGGTTGTACTAGTCTCTTTTCGATCACTTTCACACTAAGAATAAATGTAGTATTTCTTATTAGTTTATTGATAGACTAGTAACCTTAAACAATAAATAGGATAATATTTACAGCTGATATAGAAGACCAGTATTTTTATTTATGCAATGTATGTGATAGAGATTAGAGAATATATTATGTAAAGGTATTCTTGTTATAACTTAGGATATATTTTGTGAACATTGAATATATTTTATAGATTGAGTATATTATTCTCAAAGATTTTAAAGTTTGTACCAAAATATTATGGGGCAAAAAATTAGGAGCAATGGGAATATAATATATAATTATTGGAAGGAGAGCTTATTGATTGTTCGTTCAAAGGAGGAAATTTTGCATGGTTGAGGAAACAAAAATGAGTGATAAGAGTAATATACTACCTCTGTTTTTTTTTTTTTTTTTTTTTGGAATATTTTATATCTCACAAATAATACCTCAAAATTGCAACTAAAAAAAATCGGAGATAGTATGATCATAGAAATAAAAAATAAAATTGTTTGTCCTTCGTCTTTGTACTTTTTTAGTAATACTTGATTGATAATAGACTACACTCCGTAATTACAAGTAGAAAGAAGGAAAAAACAAGAGTGAGATTTGTATTATTCGGATCATTGGATGTTTAGTAACCAACAAAATTAACTAAGGGATTGTTCACATTTACTTAATTTCACTTCAGTTTAGTTCAGTTCAGCTCCAATCAGTTTAGTTCAGTTCAGTTCAGCTCCAATCAATTCAGTTCAGTTCAGCTCTTAATTTCCCTCTCTCATAAAATATTCATTTCAGCTCAGTTCAGTTCAGCTCCAATCAGTTCAGTTCAGTTCAGCTCTAATCAGTTCATTTCAGCTCAGTAAATGTGAACATGCCCTAAGAGTATAAATTAAATTACCATTGATTAATGAATGTATGTAATAATTGGTTATTTAATCTTTTATATCAACTTTATCCAAAAATAAAAGTCCAAAACCATACACAAATAGTATTTCTTGGATATATATGAGGTTAAATTAATTTTAAAGAAAAGGTTTTTTTTTTTTTTTTTTTTTTTTTTTTTTTTTTTTTTTTTTTGAAAAAGGCTTATTTAAAAAGTCGTTACTTTAGGCTAAGACACTATATACTTGTAAGAGCATAGATAATAAAGTTTAAGATAATAATATATTCCACAAAGGCAGTAAGGGCACAAAGAATTTAAAGTTTCATTTAAAGAGTGAGATTTATTTTGTCATACAATAATGTGACATTAATTGTCTATTTAATTTGATTTGATGTTTTTGTGATTAATGTCGTATAAATATTAATTGCAAAGTAAAATTTAAAAATAAAATATTGAAATGGATCGGAGAAACTTCTACCTTAAATTCCACGTGCACCGGCCTTATCTTACGTGTTGAAAAATGAATATGCAAATACTACATTAAACTGTAATCCTATACTTCTTTCATGCTTTGATAAGCTAACCAATAATTAACATAAGAATTACCAAATAATTAAATAATCAAATGATTGACAGGCTAACCATTATCAAGTTTGCAACTGGCATATATATTTTCTTATCAAGGTAAACACTCCAACTACGCAATTCAATGTACGAAAAATTAATATAAAAACGCGTTCAAATGATATAAAACTTAGGCCTAAACTAAAACTAACTACTTCAACCAACTTCCAAACCAAAAAAAAATAAAAATGATGAACATATTTCCTATAATTCTATACTTAACCTCATTAATCAACATAGTTCTAGCAGGAGATTACATACCTAAGGATCATATCCTTGTAAATTGTGGTACTTTCGACCGGAAAACAACCGATTCCGACGGCCGAATATGGAGCTCCGACAAGGGTTCTAAGTATTTGGTATCATCCAAAGGCACCTTTAGAGCTAGTGGTAAGACTCAAGCACCGGATGTTGGTAGGGTACCTTACTTGTCCGCTAGGGTTATGTACTCCAATGCTACGTACAACTTCCCCGTTTCGCCCGGTCGTGTTTTTCTCCGGCTTTACTTCTACCCCAACGTGTATTCCCGGTCGAATGCGGCCAATGCCGTGTTCTCCGTCACGGTTGGATCGTACGCCTTGCTTAGGAACTTTAATGTGTATAAATCTACACAACAGCTTGACGTTCATTATTTGGTCAAAGAGTATTATGTCAATGTTGATAGTGGAACTTTGACCGTGACTTTTTCGCCCTCGTATAATACGTTTGCTTTTGTGAATGGTATTGAGGTTGTGTCTATGCCTAGCCTCTATGATAATGAAGATGGAGACAACATCATCGGCGCGAGTAGCCCTTTTCAGATTGAAAATTCTACTACTCTTGAGAGTTTGTATCGGCTTAATGTGGGCGGAAACTATATTCCGCCCACTAAAGATGAGCTTTCCAGGTGAGTTAAGTTAGATTTTTAAGTATTACTTTAATTTTTCTTATTAATTATTAGATACTCTCTGAATTTTATTACAAATAAACTACGTATTTTTTTGGTAAATATTTAAAAAAAAAAAAAAATTGTATGGATTACTGATGACTATAATCAAGAATTAAGGATGCTATTTTTTGTCTCAATTGTTTTAAATTTAAGAACATACATATAAACAAAACTAATATGTGTTGATGAGCATATAAAATTTAAAAGAGATCTAACTTGATAATTATTTTTTTGGTAGGTCATGGTACGATGACTCGCCTTATCGATCAAGCTACATGTTAGGTGTTGCTGAAATTGCCGATCCAGGCTTAAGCATAACATATCGAAAGTCCTTGCCCTCCTACACTGCGCCCGTGGGTGTCTACACCACGGCAAGGTATATGACACCGGACAGCTTCCGCAACCTCGAATTCAACCTAACATGGTTGCTCCCCATTGATACTAGGTTTGCTTACTTGGTGAGGCTACATTTTTGTCAAATTCTCTCAAACATTGACAAAGTCAACCAAATGGTGTTCAACATCTACATTAATCAAATAACCGCATTTTCAGCCGTTGATGTTATTGCGTTGACAAATAGCAATGGAGCTCCTTATATTATGGATTTTGTGGTGATTATGCCCATTACTAAAGATCCAAAACAAGATTTGCGGGTTGAATTAAACCCAAATACCAAATATAGACCACAATATTATAATGCATTTTTAAATGGGTTGGAGATTTTTAAGATCAATAATACTGATGGTAGTTTAACAATTTAGATCGATCCAATAATTACATGTATATTTAATAATGCCGTTAATTTAGCTTCGACCATTATCATGCACGACTAATTGTTATTCCTCCGTGATTAGTGGATTTCTTCTTTAATTGTACTATACTTAATGATATCGTGAGTGTATGATATGGGACATCAAGTTTTGATTTTGTTTTTTTTTTTTATAAAATATTGATATTAGTCTTACACGATTAGAGTCTTAGAGATTTAGTTTGACTAAAATACTATAAAGTTTTTTTTTTTTTTAGAAAAGAATGCTACAAATTTACAATGCATTCGTATATATTAGAAATATAGTTTAAATAATGATCATCATCATCATCATTATTGATACAGAATGTATTACGTGGCGAAATTTGATTGGCCCGTATTTAGTATTTTGATTTTCTTTTTGAATTATTTTTAATGTTCATAATGTATTAAAATTGTATTTATAATATGTATTCTTTTTCATATATATATTTTTTTAGATTTACATAATTATAAATTAGAAAATCTGTTTTTAAAAAACTAATTAGTTTTTGAAATTATACTTATAATTAAAAATTAAAATTGCTCATCATTGTTCTTTAATGTTCATCAATGCTCTTCATTCATGTCTAGATTAGCCACTGTACTCATCCCCAAAATCATTGTTAATTGTCAATTCGTAAATAAATTGTGTTGTTCTATTTCGTTTTTTTTTTCAGTAAATGAATTGTTGTGTACAGTTTTATTTTTTCAGTTTTGAATTTAGATTTTTGTTCATAAAAAATTTCAACAATAATCTTCTTTTTTTTAGTATTTGCTAAGGAAGAATTACCCGCATATGTGTTTTCCAATATCACGATAGATGGTCAGCGGCATAGCGATTTAGGTTGGATGATTGTTCTTCCGACTGAGTAATTGGAGAAGATGACCCATTTTTTTTTTCTTTTTGAATCCCATTAGTTTGATCCGTAAAAATTAATTAATTTTTCGCGAACTTGTTTGTGGATTAGGTAATGACCTAAACTACTTTAGGTCATTACATAGGAAAAAAGGGTTTTATATATTTTTTTTGTATTTAAGGCATTTACCTATATTTACTTTGGGCATTACCTGAAAATATAGTATTATGACGTAATTATATAAATAATATGTAGATTTTTTTTAAAGAATATATATATAACATAAAAGCACAATCAATTTACAATTATTTACACGTTATTTATGGAGTCTTAAGATTGTAGTTTTAGTTACTTCCATTTAGATATATTGTTAAATATATTATATATATCTTTATAAATGTAAATTAGTTAACATATTATTTTCTTTCCTAGTTTATAGCTTTTGATTTGTATAATTGTAAAGTAGTTGGTTGTAGATATGCTTTTCTAGTTTATATCTTTGACTTCCTTGATTGTAGCTTTTAGTTAAGCTACAGATTTGTATATAATTATGAATCAATAAAACTATTTTCTTATTTACAAAGATATATAAAATATATATAATATGCAATATTTTTAAAACATTCATACATAAATCGTAGCGGTTTTTTTTGTTTTTGATGGAAATTATATCAATTATTATTTTAAGAATTTTTTTATTTTTTTGAAAAAATAATCCTACAAATTTATTTATTATTATAATTACAGAAATTTATCCTACTAAAAATATCAATTATTATCTTACAATTTATTTTAAATACTATAATTACCAATATTTTACCTATTTTATATCAGTTATTATCCTAAAATTTGTTTAATATTTTTTGGGAAATTCTCTTTAGTGAACTCCAACTTTATAATTTTCTAAGTGGTAAACATTCTTAAATTTTATTATCAATGGTAAACTTAACTTTTTGATTACCATTGATAAGTGTTATTTCCTTAACTATAGTTAGTTTTTTATTTTTAAAATTATATTAAAATTAAAAAAAAAAAAAAAACCAACCCCTCCCTTCTCCCCCAACCAACTGCCCATCCCCCTCCCCCAACCCAGCCACCTCCCGGCGGCTGGAAACTGACAAATCTCCCCGACACCACCCTCTCCCTATCGCAACCGGCCCCCTTCCCCTGACCCCCACCCCGATTCGACCACCCACTCCCTTCTCCTCCCCATTTCTGGTCTTCCCCTCCTCTTTCCTCCCAAAATTCAACAACCACAAACCCCATCACCATTGAAATAGCAGCGCTTCTACTGCTGCTCCTCCTTCAATTCGCAAACACACCAACCACCAGCACTCTCCTTCCACCGTCGGTGATACCCTCCCTCTTCCCCGACGAGTCCCCTTTGCTTTTCGCGCGGCTTGAAAACCTTAAACCCCACCTAAACCACCGAAAACCCAAACCCGATTTCTGGGTTTGGATGAACGAATTTGGTTTTTTTTGTGTGTTTTGGGTTGGGTTTAGGGTTTTCGGGCCGGCTAATAGAGGAGAGGGTCTTCGGGGAAGGGGGTCGGTTTTCGGGGTGGTTAGGGAGGTCGATGGTGGCTAAGTGGTTTCGAATGGGTTATAGTGGTTTTGAGGGGCTGAAAAACAAAGGAGGGGTAGTTTGGGGGAGGGGAATTGGCAGTTTTTGGGGAGGTTTGGGGTGGAGTGTGAGTCGAGCTGGGGGAAATGGGGAGAGGGTATGGTGGTCGGTGGGTGGAGCAGCAGGAATGGGGAACGGGGACGTGGTGGTAGACCGTGGGTTAAAGAGGGTGGCTGACGGGGAAGGGGCTGGGCTGTGGGTGGGGTTTGCTTCTTTTTTTTTTTTTTTTTTTTTTTTTTTTTGTTTGATAACAAAATATTTCTAAAATAAATGTATAAAAAAAATAATAAAAAAAATAACTAACTATGGTTAAATAACTAGTTAAAATTCATCATTATTGTTGTAATTGACTTAATATACAAAATTTAAGTTTACCATTGATAATAAAATTGAAGAACGGTTACCACTTAGAAAATGAAAAAGTTGGAGTTCACCAAAGGGAATTTCCCATATTTTTATTAACAAAATTTATCCTATTTTAAATTATGTTTCATACTTCTGAGAATGAAAAATAGAATGTTTAATTCATTATTAAATCTATATTGCAATATAATTGTGTCGATAAATATGACAATACTGACACTATTTAATTTAAATTCGAGAAACAAATTAATACTTCCTCCTTTTTTTTAGTTGACACCGTTTGACTTTTACACTATTCACACACTACACTTTGACTCGCTTTGGTGATTTATAGATACTATAAAATATAATCATGTGGGATCTTGTTTGAATCATCTACATATTGATATGTCTATTTTATATAGTGTTTTACCCCCGTCTCGTGGTCACTATTAGTAGTGTTTTTGGCTCTTTCGGGCCACTTTTATTACTAATATGTGTTTTCTAGTGTTTTCGTAGTTTTGGTTGAGTTTTGCAGGGAATTGCGCCTTTGGAGCATTTTCCCGGGATTTTTATGAAGCAACTACGAGCATTGGAAGAACACGACCACTTATGAGGCCCAAGGCCGGTTAGAGCCATCGAGACAGTGATTAAGCGCTCGGTTATTTGGATCACAAGGCAATTGGACCATGTATTCGAGACCCGAGAGGAAATATGGATTGGGCCGAGAAATCTAGCCCAATCGAAGTCCAAGCCTTGGAGAAGAAGACCGGACCCGATCGGGCAAACATACGCCCGATCGGGCGGATGCGTGCAAGGGCAGGATGCGCAGCAAGCCGAGGCGCGCCCGATCGTGCGAGGCTTAGCACGATCGGGCAATGCAGCGAGAAGAGCATGCGAGAAAAAAGGCGCGCCCGATCGAGCGGCCTCTAGCCCGATCGGGCGCGTGTTTCTGGAAGAGTCTTTTGGACGAGAAATTAATTTCTAATTAGGAGTTGTTTTAGTTTTGTTTTAAAAATACGTTTTGTACGGAATAATTACTTCTTCTTTTTACTTTCTGGACTCTCTTAATTATTCTCTTAGAATTCTCTCTCTAAACTTTTGTTCTTAATTCTACTCTTAATTCCAGATTTATTTCGGTAACGATTTATCTTCCCTTAATCTTAGTTATTTATTCTATTCCTTTAATCATGTCTTATTTTATTGCTTTGATTTGTTTAGTTTCTATTATGTGTGAGTAGTTTAATTTCTAGGGTTTATGGGGATCTAATAAATAATATGAAGGGGTAATTTATTGTTGTTGATTATCAATGTTAGATTAATTTCCTATTGATTGATTTAATGCTCTGTGACTAGATTAGGCCTATCTTTTATGCATGAGTTTGACAATATTGATTCAAGAATCGAGAGATGAGAATTAATGTTTAGGTCTAGTTTCAATAGGCAAGTTAATTTATAAATGGTTAAGTCAAGATTCGAGAGATGAGATTTAATACCGGTAAATTAATTATGTGATTGTAATACGTAGCGAGAGCCCTTTACAATCTGGTTAATTGATGCATTGATGATTGACTATTATTGATTATTGGTTTTGCATGATAATTTCTTATTGGATTGTTTTAATGTTTTACAATTGCGGCTTGTAAAAGTATAGCAATATTAAATTGATGAATCGAGCAGATGTTAATTTGATATTAAAGGCTATTTTCAATAAGGACTTAGATCTAGTAAATTTCGAGAGCCTGTTAGATCTATGTTGATTAATAAATTGCGAGAGCCTGTTAATCATGTTATTTATGCAATGTCAATGATTGATTACTATGTTTTACCCTGGAGTATTATTTATTAGTGAACCTACGCCCTAGATCCCTTTATATATCGTTCTCTCGCTACTCTTGTTCTTTGTAATTTAGTTTCTTGCTTAATTATAAATATTGGTTACTTAAATAGTTTAGAATATAATAATTAATTAGGAGTAAAAAGACTAGTTTCCCTGTGGAGATCGACCCTACTTCCCTATCTACCTTAGTTAGTGATTTAGGTAATTATTTTTGATTAGGGGATACGACTTTACCCTGTCAAAATTTGGCGCCGTTGCCGGGGAAACGGTTTTATTTTTATTTCTAATTATTATTAGAGTCTAGATTATTTTTAATTTTTTTTTTTTTTATTATTATTTATTTTTTTTTTAATTTTTAATTTTTTTTTATGAGTTGAAAATATCCATGCTTATATGTCACTACAAGAATTATATAATTTTTATGCAGCACCTAACTACTGTAGTTGTCAACGTCTTTGTCATGAAAATCCTGAATGCCCTTATAGTGAGTTTTTTGTGCGTGCTCCGGATGATTTTAGAGTCTTTCCGTATACATATGATCATATTCGAAAACGATTAGTTGCTAATGAAAGTTATTGGAAGGCTCTTGATGAAAAAGTCTATGGACACTATAATAATATGAATGTTATTGAGGATGAAGAACCATCGGTTATAGAATTTGTGGTTGAAAAATCATTGGTTGACGAATCAGTGATTGAAAAATCATTAGTTGTAGAAACGGTGGT